CATGACACTCTACTGGCGTCACACTAGGAAAAAGAGTGGTGGAGAGGTGATATGGCAACCGTCGAACAGCTTTCAAAAGCCAAGGTAAATAGAATCCCTAGAGCTTAGCCATTTTAAGCCCTGAAACGGGGAATCCCTGCAGGCGGCGTTGGAGATGTGTTATGCGCTACACGAGTTCTCCAGGCCTTGTCCGACATGAGCCGAGAATGCTTGCAGTTGTGCCAATTTGTTGCCCAATTCAGGCTGGCCAGGCAGTTGCCATCAGTCGAAGCAATCCCTGCCGGCAGCACAGTTTGCCTCAAGCCGGGAGCGTCTGGATGGATGTCCGCGTCGAAGAGCTAGTATACAGTAGGCGAGCTCAGGGCTACCAGACAAGGCTGTTATTGGCACAAGTCTTTTGTTTGAAGCGAGGCCTTGTACGGCAAGGCTGTCCACCCTGCTCACTATCACTTTGCTGTCTTTGCTGTTCTCTCCGGCAGAGCTGCCTTCATCATGTCATCATACAAATTAGACTGCCATGGCCCAAGCGATCCTCCAGCAGTGATTCTGACTTAAGGCTGTGATAATAGTCACCACAGATCAGTTTCAAAAAGTAAGCGTGTGCTGTAGACTCTGTAGACCTCTTGTGAGCTCCATGACTGTGGCATCTGTGCGCCCGGGCCTTACCTCCAAGGTAGACCATTGACTTCCTACGTTGAAGGTCCCCAAAAGAACACTACTCTAATCATGAACCTTTTAGTGGCACGGTATAATCCCCAATTAGCTACAACAGTGGGTTCCATTATTCTGGTCCATTCTTTGATTCCCTGATAACCAGAGGTCAGTAAACCCGGACCCCTTGGCATGCCCTTCATCGGAGGTCAGCCCGCAGGCGTCTCCAGCAGTGGCCACCCAGAGTAATCAGAAACTGCTTTGCAATAGGGTTTAGGGTTTAGGGCAGTCGAAAACAGCAAACAGAGCCATTTTCTCTGAGCTTTTTGGGCTTTTTTATTCGAGGCTTGGCCTCGCCGTGGCGTGGCCGGCAGCATGTTGCGATGCTGCCTGCCCGTGGCATGGTACCTTCCGGCAAAGGGCCGGTCAGCACAAACCGACGTCACTTCCCGGACGTTCGCGCTGAGCAGACGGTCGTGAACCAGCCGGAGCCCAGGAGCTCTTCTTGGTTTAGCCTTGCATTGCCCATGCTCGCCTGAAAGAGGATCCACTGTGCCTTCACTCCGTCTGTCGTGGCGCCCTGGCTGTTGCCCTCCGAATCGGAACCGTCTTTGGAGAAGGCGAAGCTAAAGCTCAAAGAGCTTGAAGGCAGCCTCACTCGTTCCATGAGCTCCCTCGCAGCTTGTCTGCAACAGAAACTTCTCCTTCAGTGAGTTGCCAAGTTTGTGACGCATCCCCGCAAGGAGAAGAAAGACATACAACGACACCTTCACATGTTCGGAATCCCAAATCTGGACATGACTCCCCACAAAGGCGCGCAGACTCCTTTGAAAGCCTGATTTCGAGGTTGAGGGTTGTTAGGAAGATTGAGCCTTGCAGGACTCCGCGGACTACGACACAGCAACTCCGCAGAGGCTGTGTAGTGCTGGATACTGGACAAGTGTAACATCTCAGCTCTGTCTAAAAGCAGCTGATCTAACACTAGCAGGTTTTTTGCTTGCCTCCAGAGACTATGCCGGCGACGCCGGCTACGCAGGTCTCGAAGGGCGCTTTCGGGAGAGCTTGATTAGGCTCAGCATGGCTCAGCCTTAAAAGGTGGCTGCTGCAGCCAAGCCGGTGAAGCCGGTGAAGCCGCAGGTGTCGCAGGTCTTTGGCCGTGAGGCGATTTCAGGACAATCCTTTGTGTCACCTGTGCTTTGTACATGCGGCTGCAAGTGCAGGCTCCAGCTGTTCCAGATCTCTACATACCCAATCCTCCACCCACTCGTGGACTTCCCATAAAGGTGCCATAGGGTGGGTTGTCTGGTGCTTTTGCTGCTTAATCCGCTGCGGCACCTTGCCAGGCCACCTACGCTCGCCTCACAGGAGCCAACCGAAAAGACTGGCAAAAGACTGGTTTAACAGCATGTGACACTGTTCGTAAGCCGATGACTGCAGGACCGGCCCTGCGCGCTTTGGCCGATCAAGAGGTTCTCCTCCTTTGAAGCCTGTGCAGTTGGGAGAAGTTTGGAAGTCTGGATCGTGTTTGTTCCGCTTTTCAGGTGGTGGACTTCGCCACGAGAGCTCCTGCGCCGGAGCGGGAGCGACGGGTGAGCTTCAAGCCGCCCTCCAGGGTCCTCAGGCCCCCTCTGTCGAAGGCAAGTGAGGAAGGCGACTTGAGCCAAAGCTGCATATTTCGAAAGGCACTTGGAACCAAGCCAGATGACTCGCAAACAAAGATCGCACAAGTGCATCCTTCCCCTATGCACCCAGGACCAAGACCAGCGCGCAGAGCTTGACGACGACCACTGGCGCTTCACTTCAAGCCTCACAAGCATCACTGGCCTCAAGCAGTTCCCTGCATGATGTGTCTTGTCAGAGTATCAGGGCCTGGGTGAGGAAGCACTCCGGTGTATTGTAACTAGGCTCTGCCCTTCAAGATTTCTCTGACAATCTCTGACATATTATGATCATTGGCAGAGTGTCTGAGGCATCTCCAGTGGCTGAGACCTGACTTGCTCTCTTGTGCGAAGTCAATCCCAGGAGAGAGGCCATGGAGATGTTTGTTGTGAACTGCTTTTTGTCAGCCAAATGTCTCGCGTGGCAGCCTTTCGTTGATGCATGTATGAGCACATATCCTTCGCAAACAGCCAGAACTGGACTGATGAAGCCACCAACAGCCAAACGGCTTGGCCTCGCTCCTCAATTTTCTACCTGTGTTTCCAGGTGGGAACTTCATGTGACTAATTCCACAATGAGTTGTTTCAAGATTCTGCAGGGAACACCTTCCGCAGTGTGCTAAAAGCACGCAATTTAGTGGTTGCTGTCGCAGAAGCGGCTCCCTGGAACTTGCAGCAGGAAATGGTCTGAAGGAGCAAACTTGCATGCGGACTGCTTGGTGCGACGGAAGCTGGGGACTCGAACCTTCAAGTGACTCTTGTGCGAGATGGTGGCTCAAGCAGCATTTTCTTGGTATGAGCTGAATGCGCAGAATCTCACTGATGCATGGTACGGAATGAGTGGGAACGGCCCCGTGAAACAGCCAGGTGAGGTCACTGCAGACTCGAGGAAGGAAATGAAGAAACAGAAAAATCAGCTGATCCCTGCGGGTCAGGGCAGTTGAATGGGCCTGGCAGACTTGAGCCTTGCGGCACGGATGGGAGCAGGATCAGCTGTCCTGCCCTCTCTTGACACAGCGCTCTTGGTAACACCGGAAAAGCAGCAGTAGCACCGGTAAGGGTGGGGATACTATAAGCGCATAACATAGATAACGCAGACAGCTCCCTTTTCCTTGTTCTTGCGACAGGACGGACAGATGTGTACTAGGCGGAACGGACAGATGTGTGTTTGGCGGGACAGACAGATGATCACAGTTCGTCGATATGATGCGATCATCTTCAAGGTCACTGTCCTTTACAGCCCAAACTTCGTTGGGATGCCCAAGTTGCATCTAGCAGAGCATGACTGGCAAAGCATGGTAGTGCGAATTGCATTCCAGTAGTGTTGTGTCAGTCTCACTTGAAGCTCAGGCACCAGTTGGCGATAAAGAGGTGTTGCTTATCATCTGCAGCAGTTTGCCTTCAAGCCAGCAGATCTTTGAAGTAGGGAGGAAGAGTGAAGACAAACAGCCCTTGCGCAGGCTGTCGCAGAGATTGCCGCAGCTACTGTCATCCAGGCGTGCTGGAGGCAACAGGACATGAATGTCAGTGTTCCAGAAACGGGTTTCAGGCCTGAACAAGGCGATAAGCTACGAAAGCCCCGCCAATTGCCTGTCCCTTCATTGCTCCAAATGGCTTTCTGGACCTTGTATCCACTTGTTTAAAAAGGTTAGAGTAATGGCATATTTTCATAAAGTACAGTACATTATCCTGCAGTGCTATGTCATGGAATATACAAGTTCATTATTCAATTTAATTTCGCTACTCCATTAGCAGAACTGGCAGCCAACTCGTAATTGAAGAACTAAGTTATGTAAACACGCAGGCCACCAAATAAATTGGATAAGACGGATAAAAGAACTGGTCTTGCATCTATCAGTCATTTTGTTGTATTTCTTTGGCAGCGACGCGTTGGCCTTGGGCCTCGAACCAAAAAAGGACAGTAAGGAGGATCCGCACAGTACACCGCATATTATACAAGCGTGGCAAAGCAATGTGTATGTTCGTGTATGACTTTCAGTCCCATATCACTATGAGCGTTAAGCTCAGGCAGTGAAAGCTTGGCTTTGCTTTTCAGGGCCCACCAAGACCGTGCGTCGATCGGGGAAAGCCCCTTGGCAGATTCCAGATGTTTGACCCAAAGGTAAAGGCAAGGAGACTGGCAGCAACAGACATGAGACTCCTTGAAAGGCCTGAAAGCCGTGGTTCTCGGTCGCCGGGCGGCCATTTGCATCCAGCGATGCTGGCGTTTACTCAGCAAGTTTGCGTAAGGTTTCTCCATGGTGCGCAGTTCTGGCCAGACAATTTCAAAAATCGCCAGGGTGGAATTTGGTCAAGAGGCGAATGGAGCTGCTGACAGGCAATGGCGAACCATGTCGCCATTTGACCCAGTTCTTTTCAGATTTCAGATTGTACCACTCAGGTGCCCTCAACCTCACTCGCGCCGCGCAGAGCTCAGCATTCCCGCCTTACCGCCGCTGTAAGCCCGGATGCGGTGAAGAGCGTGCTAAGATCAGAAGCCCGGTGCTGTACATAGAGGTGGGGTGGCATTCGTTTGATTGGCTAATGAGGTAAATCAGCAGTAGATCTCAGCAAGATCCCGGTGGATGTGGAGGAGCGGCTCTTCCTTGGGCTCAACACCATTTCAGCAGTGGACCGCTACCCTCGCTTCCGTGCCTCTTGGCGCATATTGCTGAGAGGGCCGCTCTTCCGTAGGTTTTCCGGTCATCCGAGGAGTCACAGCTGGCCTTCGGCTTTTCTGTCGCGAGTGAGGCGAGGGAGCTACAGGGATATTGGGAACTGGCGACATGTTTAACTCGTGCCTCTGAGGCCCCGGTGCTTCTTCGCCACACCGGCTTACTGAAGGGGCGCAGTAAGTCACCACATATCACTGCATCATCTCGCTGGAGCCAGGGAACCAAGCACGTGGAAAAGCTCAGCAACCGTGCCCTGACTGCTCCAGGCTATTTGGGTCAGTTCGTCTGACATCTGACATTCACAGGTATTGCCAGGAAGAGCGGTCGGGCCTACCGCAGTGGTTCCTCCAAGAAGTAGGGGCCCTGCACGGCCCTGCACGATTCCGCAAAATGTCACTGGGGTCGAAGTCAGCTTTCTGAGACGCAGCTCGCTGTGCACGATGCTGAACTGAAGCTGCGCCCAGTGCGGGGTCTGCAGGTTCGCTGAATGCATTGAGTCCCTGACATGAACCGATCCTGGCAGATCCTGCTAGGGGCTGCTCTTGGAGGGCCTGGGCTCCGAGGAGTGGCAAAAAAGAAATCTGTGAAAAAGTCAAGGCATGTTCTCACTCATGTCACAATGTCTGGGGCGCAAGGAGAGGACCATCGAGGTGTCTTCGCCCTTCCTGGAGACTTTCGCGCGGACGTGCGCCGCCGGCGGAATGGACAAGGAGCGGTGGTGCTCAAGAGTTCTGCGCAGACCTTCAGAAATATTCCGCAGAATACCCAGAATACCCAGGAGCTCGAGGAGGTGGGTGTCACGCAAGCAGCGTTAGCAGCGAGCACTATACTCAGCTGCTCTCAGCTGCTCTTAGCTCTCTGCTTTTTCTGTGCCTTTGGTGGAGAATGGAATTGTCTTCTGCGTCCTGTTTGTGAAGGCGGTGGTACTCTTCGATATCTGGAGCTCCGATTTCCAACAGTTCTTCAGGCCACGGCTGGCTTGCCAGCTTGCCAGCCTGCCTTGCCTGGAACTTGAATGTGTGGGATGCTGGAACCTCCTGGAACCTGCGTCTTATGTGATGGTTCCGAGAGTTGGATGTAACAATGCAGTGCTGGTTCAGGAGTATGCTGGCTAAGGAGACACGATGCACGAAACAACGTGAGCAGCAAACAGCCAGGCGTAAATGGTTCGTGATGCTTACAGATCAGGTTTGCGAAACGTATTGTACGGCATTCTCTTTTCTTCTCCCACCTCTTCAACCTCAAGAAGTTCGGGCTCGTTCAACTGGAATGGATGATTGGGGTCAGGTGTGTGTGTTGAAGTTGATCCTGCTGAACAAGCCCAACTTCTCAATAATTGCCTCCACCCTCCCGCGCTGGCGTTGGGCTGCCTGTTGCTGAAGGAATCCACAGATCTTCAACTCTGGGTGGGGAAAAGGTCTGGGACTTTTCTGTACTTGTCACTGCTCTCAGAGCTACCGTCCACCAACACTATTGCACGGTTGTGTCCTTTTATTGCTTCCAAACCTCAGCCTCATGGAGTTTGTTGTAAGCGTGCATTTCAAGGACTGGGCACAATGGAAGTTGCCAATTCCTGCCGTCAGGCACGTCAAAGGGCACTCCTCTTGTACCTTTGCACTTTCAACTTCGACAAGCACGCGGCGGTCCCAGTCTTCGTCAGGCCTTCGATAGTGATTAGGTGTGTATTCTTCGGGCTGCAATCTGGCAAAAACCATCCGATGTTCCGGGCAGAGCAAGTCATCACTTGCGTCTTGACACATTTCTAGAAATCGCGAAGTCCAAGCTAAACCTTATCGGCTTTGACGCTACATCTCTCTGTGTTTTGCTGCATAACTCATGCTGTGGAGGGATCCTGAGTAATTTCCGCTAAGGTCGCGTACCCAATACAAAATATTCCAAGAAGCAACTTGCCCCGAGAACGGAATATGAGGGAGCAAGGTTGGTAATGGATGTAGTCCCCCTTGAGTAGGTAGAATATGGTTTTGGATACATTACATGAAGATCCCCATATACTCCATATTATATCTACTTTAGGGGGTACTATAGTTCAGAGTTCGGACTCTTGTAGAATTGCTACTCTTGGTGCGGCGCGCATTTTTTTGAGTCTTTCCTTGTTTCGCTAGTTTCGATGCCCTTATTGCTTTTTTTGTTCTGTCACCATGGATATTGGGATACTGGGGCGTAGCTTAAACAGCTGAATCTAGATTATGCTTCAATTAGTCAATCGGATTTCTATATATTGCATGCCTTCCACGACATGTTCCTGATCGGTGTCAGGGCTTTCCATGCTTCAAGTTAGGTTTCCGGTTGATCCTAAGTTGCTTCATGTCCAACCCCTTGAAGTAAGGTCCACTTCCCCATTCTGAACAATCAGCTACCTTTGGGCTCGAGACATTTTCAGCATTAGAGGGGTTCATGTCCTGCGGCCCCCGGTAGCCTCAGAAGTGAATCGAGCCCTAATCATTCCTCTTTGTAGATGCATCCCAGGGCTGCAAAACAGTAACGCCTGAAGAGCTCCTGGCTTGCTTTTGGTCTCCTATGTGGTGCTGTAGGATGTCGGGCCGTTTGGGAAAAGGGATGCTGAACCTTTTTGCGCCATCCAGGATTGTGAAACAGTTAGAATCGGTAGAACATAAGAATGAACAAAGCTGCGGCGTCCATCTCTCCCAGTAACTTTCACGTAAACTAACCCAAGCCCAATCAGTTGTATTTCAGCCGTTGTATCACACTCAAAATGCTCGCCCGGTAGAGGCGGGCAACGTGCAGGCACCAGCTCTATGACGCGGACGCTACTTATGGCGTCCTGCGGTTATGGGACCGGTCGACTCTTCAAGAGCTTTAGTGAATTGAAGGGCTTGTGAAGTATTGTGTAGAGTATTGTGGCCTTGGAAAAAGCGCAAGTTCTTTCTTTCTTTCTTGTGAGCAGCCAAGATTTTGCAAACTTCCTCTGCTTGAGGTTTGTTTATTGGCAGGACCTCTACGGCTTGGACTGGCCGCGTGCCAGCAAGGCCAGAGTGCCAGGGCTTGAGGGCACAAGTTGGTAGTAAACCTTCGCATTCACTTTATTTCACCTAACGCAGTATGAATGCTGCTTTGTGATAGCAGCGAGGTAGGCAGTTTGCATTATGAGTCGGAGGCTGGAATCTTCCTTCTGAGGGCCCGCGATCCGAAGCCTTCTGAGGCATATGCGGCATTCATGGCGTAGCCTGGCTTCTGCGAGAGCGACAGCAGCGACAGGTCATCCTGGCGAACGGCAGCAAAGTCCGAGGTGCTGCAGAGTTACGTGCCGAGTGGCAGTCAGCTGAGGCTGGGGATAGGATCAGGCTACGGCTGCGACGATTTTGGGCGATGCTCTCCACCGCTGGCCCTGTTTTCAATTCAGGAGGATCAGCGACGCGCCAGCCTGGCGCAAGTGCATGCAGAACGTGAGCTCCAGAGGCAACGAAAAACACAGCAACGATGCGTTCAAGAAGAGCGTGTGGCCGCTAGGTTGGAACGGCTGAACAAAAAGAAGAGAAATGCTGATGTTGAGGCAGAAGGCTGCTGTAAGCTGAAACCAGTGCATTGATGCTCACCAGCAGGAAATCATGCAGCAGTTGTCCACTGTGCCTCCGCAAGAGCGCGAGCCCCTGGCTGCATGAGCTTTGATTTGAATGGCGTGGTGGTTGAGGCTTCTGGAAGCTCTTCAGTCAGGGAAGTTGCCCAGTTCCCCTGACACTTTCAAGCAAATTGCTTGGTTGTTTTAGTCGGAGCCACAGCTCCTTTGCGCTGCCAGGCAGCGTGGACTCTCAGCTTGTGGAGGTGCGCATGAGCAGCATGAGGCCGCGGATGCCTCAGTGTGGGAGCCTAAGGCCTGGATCTTGGGAAACCGGCTCAACTTCTCCGGCCGGGTGGTGGACAAGAAGCAGCTCGCCAAGGCAAAGCCTCAGTGTTGAACGTTTGCGTTTTTTTTCTTCTCCCCCGTTGCCCAGCGCGCCGCGTCGGAGAAGTTGGCGATGCGGAAGCTGCTGGCAGCAGCCAAGGCAGAGCATCTCGTGCTGAGCACCCCTTCACGTGGCAGCGTGGCAGTGTAGCAGCGGCTGCAGCGGTAGACGGGCCCAGGAGCAGGGTGCCACGAGGGACTTCGGGGATCGAGGTGGGAAAGCAAGAAGAAGTTCGCCTTGGGCATGTTTTGGAGAAAGGAGCTGAGGACCGGGAGCTAGCACGCCAGTGGGAGGCTCCCGGCTCCGAGCATATCCGAGCCCGTTGGGAGGCAAAGATCAAAAGCCGGGAAAGCCTTTCCGCAGGCCCGGCTCATGGAGTTCTACGCACGTGCCAACGATGACCGAGTCGCGGAAGAGGCTGAATACAATGAATGCGGAGCAGTGCGGAGCTTTGGCAAAGCTATAACAAAGCGGTTGCAACTCTGGGTAAAGCTTTGGGGCTTGGAAGGCTCGCTGCCTGGTTGAGGCTCGCAGGTGCCCTTGACATACCTCGTTTGTATGAAGCCGTTTCTGCTTGTGATGTCCTCAACTTTCTATAGAAAACAAGGCAGTTCACGTGACCTCTTTGCTGTAGGCAACTCTTTTTACTGCAAGCTGTCTCCTTGGAATCTATTGCCAGGGCCAACGGTGAAGGTCCAGACAGGCCAAGCGCCTCAGAGACGGGAAGCACGAGCTTTGGATCCCCTTGGTCTTTAAGCAGTGCAGGTGGCTTGTGGACGTCGAGGCATCGGAGAGGCAATGGAAAGATCAATGGTGAAGGGTTTCCCGATATCCTGGACAGTGGAGGCACAGATCGCCCCTGGAAGTGGACAGCGAGTACGATCATGCCCAATCCATGAGGCTTCCCGTGCTTGGAAAAGTCATAAGCATCTGGGCATTCTCTAGCCCAACCGGCAAGCCTGACAGTTAGCAGAGAGGTGCTAGCGGTCATCTGAAAGCGTCAGGTGTTCTGAAGCTGCGTAGTAGCTTTTAATTGGCAGGGGCAGTTCCGCTCCACATGTCTACGAACAGTGCTTGCCCAAGACTTTTCATAGACTTTCATGATGTGATTGTCACCTAGCCAGGCCCCAAATATGGTCCTGGGCTCAGGTTAGAACAATCTCAAGGCCTTCTGCCAGAAGATCCTGGTAAGACTGCCGCAGTAGAGGTGCGTTGCCGGTGCTTGATCTGTAGCTTCAGAGTTTAGAACGGAGTAAAGGCAGTACTTGAGGAAATAAAGCAAGAATGCTGAAGCAACCCAAAACACACATCTGAAGCCCTCGGGTCCTCTATAAGCTGAAGAAGTAATGTCTTCCCCCTAATGATAAACGAGTAATAATCCGGGGGGGTCAAAAATTATTTACTATCAGGGGGGCATATTTATTGAAACGATTTGGTAGGGCCGCCTTTAAATTCCTTTGAAAATCATTTAAATTCGAATTAAAATCCTGTTAGAATCTATTGAAATTTCATTAAATTTCCTTTTAAAATCAATTAAAATCAAATGAAACTCTTAGAATCAATAGAAATCTAATTAAAATTCCTGTTAAAATCAGTTAAAGTCGAACGTTAGAATCAATTGAAATTTGATTAGAATTCCTTTTAAAATCAATTAAAATCGAATTAAAATCCCGTTAGAATCCATTGAAATTTAATTAAAATTCTTTTAAAATCAATTAAAATCGAATTAAAATCCCGGAGCCAATTGA